CCTTGTGTCAAATTTATTTAAAAGATCCTGGATATTATAATGGTATGTTGTATAATTTCGTTTGTAACAGCGATCTAAAACGTTTTGTACGGTGGTAAGCTCCGGAGGTGATGCTCCATAAACACTAAGACCATAAATTAGTTTTGATATAACAATTGTTGAAAATAAATGGTCAACTTCTTTTTGTGTATATCCTTCCTTCCTAAGGGATCTTATAACAAATAAAGATTTGTTTATAGCTGTAATGGTATCTTTTACATGAAGGTCAAATCTACTATCGCTTTGGAAAGTAATACCTAAGATTTTAAGACTGCTACACTGAGGAATATTAGAAATAGGCTRAAAACTAAATTGGTCCATTCCTTTCTTAGTAAAAATTATTTCTTTGCACTTAGTAGGATTGCATGACATACTATTATTTGAGGACCATAACATGAAAGAATTAMCATAACTGACTGAATTATCAGTTAGATTTCCATTAACACAGAAAACAGGAGATACAATAGTACTATCGTCTGCATATTTGATTAGCACTTCCTCATCAGGACCGGAGGAATAAATCTAATATCGAGTTGCTCTTTTTATTTCTGGTGTTTATTTTGACACAGCTGCTGGTTTTAAGGGAGGTAGGACACGTGCAAGTCGTCTATTGTAATTCGATAGACTTATATACCGCAGTCCAATATCGCATCTTCATTTAAGAAGTGGGATAAACTGAAGAATTGTTGGATGGACAGAGAAATTCACTTATCTACGCGCATGAAGTTCCTTTACCTCGTGTCAGATCACGTATATTGTATGGCATTTAGGCATGTCATCTGTCCGCCTCAGAACTACAAAAGGTTGAGAGTGTGTGAAATAATTTTCTAAGGAAGATTGTATCGGGCGGCTATGCAAGGAAAAATTTTCCTCCTCGTAACAAGCAAAATAAGGGTGTCGACCCAGCTACCTTATTCTTGTCAAGAACATGGATGTTGTTCGTAGTCGACGAAACCATTTCCATGTCGGGACGACCTATCGCCTTTTGCGATGACAACGTTTTTCGAAATAGGTGTACATAAGACACAAACAACTGCACCGAGAGAAAACAACAGTTTTGTTACAAAAAAACTGGGTCGAGTTGGCATTGCAATACATTGTGGGGCTGTTTTAGGGGATAAAATAGACGACAGATCAGGATTTTACCCCTGGGTTCTTAAGGATGGAGGTACTTGGACAACGCATGATGAATCAGAGAACAAGCGTAGACGTCAATGACTGGACAAATGCAAGCATGATAGCATATGCATACAAACCTATTTCAGAAATCGTTGWCGCACCAAAAGCCTCAAGCAACAAGCCAAGACCGCAGAGAACGCCGGTACTTTTAGCTGTAATTAGTTTATTCATGGTGCATTTTCATTTATTCACTTCGCAAATTGCTCCAAGCAAGGCTGCTTGAGATAATAATTAGTGGAGAGCTATAGCCACTTGCATGAACCATGAATAAATCAATTATAATTAAAAGTACCGACATTCTTTGGAGCCTTGGCTTGTTACTTGAGGCTCTTGGTGCGACAACGATTTTCGAAATAGGTGTATATAACAGTGTCGCTTCATCTGGATATAAGGATGTACTTGAGGCTTTCTGATAATAACACCTACTGTTTGATCTTATTTACATTTGCTATGGGTCACCCCTAGTACTGAGGGTCCTGAAATGGTGGTGCCTGTCCCACTTCCCATCCATTTTTCCTTACAAATCTCATTTCCTAGTGTTCATATGCTTCGAAATGTGTCAATCACAAATACAAGTAGTTATCAATTTGTTAATATATTTTTTCTCAAACCAATTTATATTTACAAAAAATACCAGGAAACAGATAAAAGATTACAGCAAACTCAATACTTTTCAACAGAAATATTTCAATATTCTGAGGATGAGAGACTCAAGTAATCTAAAATAGACACAAAACGATCTACTCTTCTTCATCTTCACCATCTGCAAGGGAAAAAATAATTTAGTTATCCTGTGTTGGGAGAGAAAGAATAAAATTTATCTTTTTCAAAATAAAAGCTGTTTAGACGTACACTGTACTCATGATAGGGCAAGTGCTTGGCATACTGTGTTTCAGTTATATATTTTACAGTCAAACTACCTCAAGCGTGAACACATAGAGGTCATTAATGACTTTATTTTTGGATTCTTGATTTCATTATTCGATTCGAAGATTCATTAATGAAAACGAATCTTCAATATTCAAAAAATATTAATAATTTGAAAATTCGATTAACTTGGCTTGTAGGCTCTTGTTTATAGCGCAAACAGAAGGTAAGTTATTAATATTACATATTCCTTGCACAAAAAGTTGTTTTTGCTTTTCAGTTGCATATATGCTTGGCTTTTGTATATGCCAGGCTTTGAAGATTCGTTTTCAATAGTGAATGTTCGAATCGAATAATGAAATCAAGAATCCAAAAATAAAGTCATAAATGACCTCTACGTGTTCATGCTTGAGGTAGTTTGACTGTAATCCATAATAGTTCCTTTCACAGTTTCCTGTGTCATCTTGGAAGGTAGCCTTGCCTTTAAGCATCACATCGAGGACTACCTTTCAAGATGCGCAGGGAACTATGAAGGGGACAATTGTTCATTTTGGATACAATTTACTACTGTTTTCATTGGTAAGTGCTGACATGGAAATTGGGCAATACAATGTGGTCAATCACCCAAAGTATGTACTTGACAATTTATTTGATTCATGGTAGTCTCATGTCTGATTTCCCTGTCATGCCTGTTGTCGCAATCAGCGCATTGGAATGAAAACAGTACTAACAGATGCTCTACATTCTATACTTTGGTATCCATAATACTATGTGGCTTTGTGGGGCAACCAGAGCAAAAAAATGCACTTATTTTACTGAAGGCTGATCATGCAGTGTTCAAAACATAGAACTAAGATTAAAGCTGAGACTGAAAGGGTACATGGGAAGTATGTTCATGAGATGTATTTAGTGATATAACTTGTGAAATGTTCATTAATAAGCCAGTTTGTAGTTTAAGAATTGTTTCCAGTGCACATGCGATTTTATCCTGAATTTCTTTTCTCACCTTCTTTTGTGTAAACTTCCTTTTGTTCTTAATTAAACATATAATAAATAAATCTAATAAATCTAATATCTAATAAAAAGAATCCAAGAAACTTGGGATAAAATCGCATGCACACTGGAACTTAACTTCTACATGTACATGTATGTTTTATGTTTTGAACCGACAATGATTTTGTTGAATATGCACTGTACACATCACATTACACTCACTTTCTTCATTCTCCTCTTCAGCTTCTTCTTCTGTTTCCTCATTTCCTGTCATGATTCATAAAACAATAAATAACCCCATTCGTTTAGAAACATCAAAGAACCTATTCTTCATTACTTACCACCTAAAAGTTCTTTTTCTCTAGCATATCGTTCAGCTAATAATTGTCCTTTGGGATACCAAGGGGCATTCTTATGTTTCTTAATCATCTCTTTATATCTGTCTTCTGCCGTCTCTTCAAATCTATGTCCTAGATACCCTAGATACACGCCTATACTGGTACAGATGACATGGAGACTAGGCTCTGGAAGACAAAAAGAAAATGTTGTGACACAAATTGACCCTAAAGAATGCAAATGGCCTTCCACCAATATTACACTATTTCACTATGACATCACAGCTTGTTTATGAGGGGGATAGAAGGGTATAAAAGACAATTACAATTAAGTCTAATTTTAATCTACAGCGGAATCGATTGCTCTGATGTGACTGGTCTTCAAACATTTTATAAACCAGTGTTTATTCTAGTCCCCCAAAGGCTTCAATAGTACTTCACCTTTCACTGCCATTAATTTCAACGCTATTACCTTAAAGACCTCGATTAGCTCATGAAGCCATAGTCAGTTTTGTCGTTTAAGTGGAATATTAAAATGCAGATTGTAAGATAGGAATCAGCACTTACTCCAAATTTTATACATTGTCACTTATCCTTAATGTTAAGTTCAATACCAAAGGGCAGCATAGTGGACTTGCATTTATTTATTGCAGAGGTCATTAAAGTGATCTTCTCCCCTCAAACAATGAACTTAATCTAGAATTTTATCAAATGTATAGCAAAAAATCTTAGGTTGGATTTTTTCATGCAGAGTTTAGCTTACTCTTTTTCTTATTAATGAATCCAATCAAATTATAGAAATAACGTGAATTTCCCTTTTACAAATGCACAAGTGCATAAACGTAACACAACGACCCCTCACAAACTTTGAAACTTGTTAGCAAAGCCTAAAGCACATCAATTTTTGCACAAGATTGCCCCAGTAAACAAGACTCACTTCTCCACATTGGTAGTCTTCTAACAACATTGCTATAGCAGGCTGTAAAGAGTCCACCAGCTCCAAAGAATATAATAGTTCTGATCATTCTGCTAGAAATCCAAGATGGCCGACCTCGCGGATAAACCACAGGGAACCCAATACATAATAAGCATGCGCACCTTGTTTTGAAGGTAACCGCTGACTAACAGAATTGTTTTGCTGGAGGTCACAGAGTTGAGAGGAGAGGGGAAATGCAGAAAGTCTTGGCAGGAAATTTAATAAAATAATTAAAAAATTACCGAGAGGGAAAAAGATATCATAAAAAGGCCAAAATAGCCTATGTTGGCCTCTTCACGAGGAGTTATTTTTTCTCTCGGTTAATTTTTTTGTTTTTATGTCCTGCCAAAATTTGGCTGCCTTTGTGTCTATACTAGGGGAGACGTGGTTCCGGCGCAGAGCATGACGTATTTTTGTTCCAAATAACTGATTCCTTCATGATTGAAAATATGAATTTTAAAAGCTGTGTTATTGCAAAACCCCGATATGATTGACAACTGGCTCATGGTGTAACTATGACAACCGAATAAGCAGAAAGTCATTCAACTAGACTGACAGACCGCTAATCGAAACTCACTCGGAATTGAATCAAGCTGGCCTAAAACTAAAAACCTAGAATAGACGAACTATATGCGACTAAATAGGAATTTTTCTATCCATAATCACTCCATTCCTGCGCGGACCTGGGTTCTAGTACCCTATACATTCCCTTAAAAATTGTGAAATTGTCTTTGTAATCTTCAAGAACCCTAAAACCTATTTCGGATTGATTTAGGGACTGACTAAAGAGGTCCAAATAATTTTTTGTTCATTCATTTTTACAAAGTCTTATATTTGTAAATTTTGAAACAAAACCCATCAGGTCGGGCAATAAAATTTTTTGCATGTTTCGCCAAAACGCTTATAATTTTACCTCAACATTTGCATGAAATTACGAAATATTTTGTCAGATTATAGAAAGGTAGTCAAAGTAACTTGATATTGTTTGGAGAAATTTTCAAAACAATATGCCAATGAACGGTAAAGCCACCTGTCAAGCTCACTAGATCTGTCAACGTGTTGTGTGACTCGCCTTGACCATCAACGAATAGTCTTCTGAGAATCCAAATCGTGACGTCGACCTTGTTCATAGCTAGCTCTCCTACTTCATGTTGTGATCTGTCTCGACATGACTTGGTCTTTAATGCCTTTCAACGCTATATTTTATCTTGCAGTTATGTTCTTGAACTTTCCGCTCAATACAAGCGGAAAGACGTTGCCTGTGGTCCTCAATACATGGCAATTTACTGATGCTTCTGATAAAGGTACCGTCAGTTCTATCATTCAAAATGAGGCTTCCTACACGGCTTTAAGGTTTTCGTTTTGGTTTTAACTGCTCTAGTGTTTAAGCAAAAATTAGAAGTATATTTCTTGTGCTGGTGAACGGAGTTTAATATATATCTCGCGGTTAAAAAAAAAATAAGCAAAAATAGCATACTGCGCGTGACTTAACGATCTTTCATGTGGTCTTCCATTCTATATTATAGAATGGAAAACCTTGGTTATATATTATTGTAGATCGAAGCTGTCGACACCGCGTTTGAAACTAAATTTAGCCGGTGGCTATCCGATTAAAGTACTTGTCGGTTATAGACTAGCTGCATGAACGCATTGTGACTGATTTCAACCGGCCGTAACTCATTGTATTCAACCACATTTGTAGTTCATTCGGTCATTCAGACTGGGTACGGTCGCTTAGTACTAAACCTAAATTTAGGAAGCGCTCTAACATCTGTAAATAAATAAAGGTTCGTTACCCTTTGAATAGCATGGTAAGACTTAAAACCAGTAATCCTTCCTTAAATTTACTTGATTTCCCCTATTCTTACAGCGTACTCCGTCATGCAAGCAGGGAAGTCTGCACTAGATGCAGTGGTAGCTGGTATCACCGTGTGCGAGATGAAACCATGTGCTGTGAACCCTTTAAACCCAAATGTTGGATTTGGCGGGAAGTGGGTATATGTAAAAAATAGTGATAAAACACGCGTCACTATACACTGAATCAAATATTGCGACTCATTTGAATAGCTGTTGTTCTGGACTGACTAGCCTCGTGTTTTAAATGTTTTGTCATTCATTCTATTACATCAGTTATCGTTTATTCATAACGAAACATTCCTATATATTTTATGCTTTTGCAACTTATTTTCAAAATCACATTTGACCATGCAGACTTTAATAACTATCTGCCCGTGGTTGGGTTGAATAGAGGGTAGTACATACGTTATACTTCGCGTTTCGTTCGTGAAAAAATGATACTGGCAGCTCAGAATTCACAGCGTGACATTTACGCTCAGCATGATTACATTACAGTCTTATGATCTCATGTGAACTCACGCTACCCTGGGTGCCAGAGGCGGTGTGGCGCTAAGCCTCTAGCACCCAGGGTAAACTCACGCTGAACTGTCCATGAAACCTTTGACAGCTCATTCTGGGCCACATGCCTAGTACTCTTCTACCGGATGTTTCGCAAATCGCATCTGCTACCTCACTCTCCACGTGCCTTTGACCCAGCCAAACAGCTGACTAAAACTGACTTTAAATTTCACGACTGGGCATACTAATCACCATAAGATGGAGTATAAAACTATCCAGTTTCGAGAACGGGTAGTGGAGATCGGCATGATTACATTACAGTTTTATGATCTCATGTCTAACTCACGCTGAAAAAGAATCGTAAAAATGTTTTTGTACAGGTATTTTGATAATGTTTTTTCTCTTTTAGGCCAAACGAGGAAGGAGAAACCACACTCGATGCCATGATCATGGACGGGTAAATAGATAGATGTATACGTTATTGGTATACATAAATGATTATAAGTCACCAAAACTATTGATGTCATCAATTAGCATACTGGTCATATGGCAAAGAGCGGTAATATTCCTCTCTCAATCTAGGAGTAAAGATCCCCTAGGCCTCAGGGGGTTCATAATCCCCCCAAGGTAATTATTCCCAGAATTGAGTCTTTTTAAAATGTTATTTTTATTTAATTCTATTCTATTTTATTTTATTCAAGTAAATTTGCTTAAAGGCTAGGACCCTAGCCTCCTTCGCAGCCGTTCTTAGGGTTGCAAAAGGAGGCTACTAGGACCCCGGCATATAATGCATTTCCTCTCCGTTCACTCTGTAGGCTGAAAGACAGTTAGTAGCTATGGCGCAAACTCTGCCTAGTTAATGCGCACTACTACCCAATGCGGTTTAATGCTGTTTTAGTCACGCATATTTATTGTTCCATGATCTCAGATTAACGCATTCAAGTGCGGGTGTTGGTTGCCTCAAGAGAATCAAGAATGCGATAGGAGTAGCAAGAGCTGTCATGAACTACACCAAACATTCCCTTTTGGTCGGAGATGATGGTAAACGAAAAATATAACTTTTGAAATAACTGAAAATTATTTTTAAATAGACAAAATTATATTTACTGGTAATCAAAAGTGCAACAATACAGTCTTACAGTTTCTGTCTAATTCAAGAAAGGTAAAAACTGAGTCAGAATTTGGAGGGGGAAATATATGCTGATTCATGCACTTTTCGTTACAATTTCGGTTTCTTATCTGGCCTTCTAGGGGTCGCATGCGCAGCCAAACGAAACAATGTTTGCTGGTTTTTTTGTTTTTTTTTTTTTTTTTTTTTTTTTTGGTTTTCATGTTTCTTGGGGATTTGGTGATGAATGCTCAACTCTGTACAAAAACATCCGTGAACTAAAGTCGTTCTTTTTTGTTATTGTTTTAGCAACAAAGTTTGCAAAACTCTTTGGGTTTCCAGAAGAAGATCTTCACACCAATAACTCTTAGTAAGTATCCTGAAGCATATCAACTGTGACGCCATAATCTGTTGTTGCCTCCTCCACGTAGTGACAATAGAGGTGCGGTAATACGCCAGCGAGATAGCACGTGACGTAAAAAATTGCTGCATTGCCAGTTGCAAAGAAAATTACCACTCCGCGCGCAACAAATTTGTCTCAACATCTCGTCTCACCAAAAGCTTTAGCATAGCGTCTCGTCCGTCCACACTAAACCATCAAAAACGCAGATGCGATCGGAAACGACGCAATTTCATATAACCCAAGGAATCAAGAGCTACTAATAAACTCGGATAGGATCGATACCTTGTCCGAACTTGTCCTAATGCCGGCAGTGACACGACATGTTCTGCACCTTATTTTATTTATTACCGCTTCATGTGACCATCACATACTTGCGCAATGAGTGAGCCAATGACAACAGGCGAATCGTTGCTTTTCTTGCAGTAAAACCTGGCTCAACTGGAAAGCCAAGAACTGCCAACCAAACTTTTGGAAACCGGTAATGTTTGCATTAATGATAGCTTTTAGATATGGCTATAAGCATATGAAACTAAAAGTAGTTGGATCTTTTGTAGAACATCCCAGGAGCAAATGAAAGCTGTGGCCCCTACAATATTCCTCAACGGAAGAGGAGGTGAATACAAATAACTTTTTGATATTGCTTGCTATTTCTAGATTTATAGTACACTCAACAAAATTACTCGACTCTGATTGGTCGAGAGGAGTACAATTATAGCGTTAATTGTACTCCGTAGGAATACCGAATTAAGTCGCTATGGCAACACGGCCAAAACAATGTCAAAACAATTATTTTCTATCATTTTGTACTTAAAAACATATAAATAAAATTTTAAAGCCGTAAGAACTAATCTTTTTTATGCATTTCAGTTGCGCGATGGACTGACAATCGGCCGCCTAATAGACAAAGATGAACGGCGTCGCTTCGCATTTTTTACTGAAATTTTGTTGAGTGAATTATAAACAAAAAATCGCACGATCTTCTCGTACAATTTGGAATTAATAGACACTCGTAATGTTTTGAAAGTTCTTTAATTGCACTCGCCTAAAGGCTCGTGCAATTACAAGAACTTTCAAAACATTATACTCGTCTCTATTAATTTCCAAATTGTACTCGAGATCGTGCGATTTCCTATATTAACTGTGAGCGCCCAAGCCTTTTTCATGCGATGTTGTCGATACGCGTAATCTGCAAACTAAGCCAATATAAATATGTCTCCGTGTTGGTGAAAGAGAGAGTCGCCGAAATAGACCTTTTTACGAGTACAGCGGCCATCTTAAATATTATTGTTTTAATTATACGATATTATGGGATGCCGAGGGGGCAGCAATTGGAAAAATGATGAACTGCACAGCTGTCAGGGTGTCTTTTTTCCCCATAAACGTTAATATACGCTTTTCGATGAGAAGCACATCACACCCAAAATGCAATTGAATTTGCTGCTAGGTATTAATATTCCAGGGAAAAATGCGAAACATAACACGAATTAAGTTTTGAATTATATGTTTGTAAATTAACTTAACCCCGCCACTCTTATCCATGCTAATAAATGTTCTACGTTTAACCTCTTTGTTTCCCATGCATAATTCAAAGTGGCCCGCCACATCAGTAAAACTGTCTATTAGGACAATATGCACCAATCATGATTGACTTTGATGTCTTCAGTAATGAGTGATATTTCTGTCGGCAGATCTGCTCGTTTGGGTATCATAGGCGAATCCAATCATGACACTATTGGTAAGATTAGGAATATATGGTCGTGCTACATATAAACTGTTCATGCCATTTTTATTTATCTGTTTTTCTTCTTAGTCCATTTAAAATTTGTTATTGTTGTTGTTGTTGTTTTAGTACACTGTGTGGGAAAATTACACCATAGCACAGCCGAACACAATGACTTAATGAATAATTATTGGACGAGGTTGAGAACCGACTCCGAAGGCAGAGACAAATAATTGCTTGCGAGACACTAACAAATCACTGTATTTTGTGATGACCGAGCTCAATTTTTGTTTTATCATTCAACGACCACGATCACATTTCACACTAAACATTCAAATTATGTTTACTGTTTTCTTTTCACGTTTTGGCTGTTTTACAGGGAAGCGAGCCATTTCGACAAATGCATCGTTGCTGCGCATAAGCAGAGTATTATTTGTAGCCAATCTCGTACCCAGAGCCTGCGTTTCTTCTGACATGCAGCTCAGAACGAGGGCTCTGGCATAATCGAATAATCGAGACCGGGATTTCTTGCACTTCCGGTATGAGAGGCCAGGACATGTGTTTGAAGACTTACCGAAAAGAAAAAAATATATATATGTTCCCGATTTTTGATTTTTATCGGAAGTGAGCACAAAACTCTGTTTGAAAGCATGCTTTTCATGGATTATATTTCACTTCCGGAAAATTGCGCATGCCAAAAAATGATTATGCCGCCCTAGTTCTTCGATGCAGGCCAGAAAAAATGCAGGCTCTAGGTACGAGACTGATTTGCAGCAAAAACGGCTTTGCATCATAATGCGCATAAGCAAAGTTGTTTACAGGTAGTTGTTCGTAGTTGTCTCATCCAATCAAAACGACGGAGAAAATAATTTGAATTATACTTGCAGGAATGGTAGCTATTGACTCAAATGGTAATTTAGCAGCAGGCACGTCGACCAATGGACTAGGCTTCAAAATAGCTGGGTATGGAAAGGAAGGCTTATACTAATATATATAATGATTGAAATTAAACCGTAGTTTGCTCACATTCGGCTAAAGACTCAAGCCTAGGGTGGGTTAGGATGCCTTTCACCTCTGGTCACGACGGAGGTATGGGGTTCAAATCGCAGTCGCCCCTTGTGAGCTGAGTTGGTTGGTTTTCTTTCTGATTCAGAATTTTCAGGTTCTCCGGTTTTACCTGCCAGAAGCGCCTTCAGATAGATCCCGTTCAGTTGCGCCACTGTTGTGCTTGCGGTAGTTAATAGCCATAACATGTTTTCCCCTATTGAATGGTAGTTAGAACGACACACAAAGCTTTCATCTCGTCATGCATTATGATTCAGCCATTTTGCGGTCCTTTCCTTCCTCTCGATACTTTTTCAGACTCTAACCAAGTTGATTCCATTCTTTATTCGATGTAGTCGTGTCGGTGACTCACCCGTCGCTGGTGCTGGTTCATACGCAGATAATGAAGTTGGCGCTGCAGCTGCCACTGGAAATGGTGACGTCATGACCCGCTTTCTTCCCACGTGAGTAGAATTCTTCATTTTATGATAATTTTTGCACAAGGCTACATAAAAACTTACATGCCAAACGCCAGAATTACATACTGTTGCAGGCAATCGATGCTGCGAGCCATGTCAAACGACGTAATTTGTCACAGGCAATGTTGCTTAAGTAGAGAACGATTCTCCTTCAGTATCACTGCCTGCAAATTGCATCGCGTGTCCGCGCCTTTAGTTCAAAATGTTATTTCATATTATGTTTTATGCAGGTATCAGGCAGTGGAGTTCATGAGACAGGGTCACAGTCCTTCTAAAGCAGCCCAACTGGCTCTATTAAGAATAGCTAAACGCTACAAAGATTTTACTGGTTCCATCATTGCTGTTAATAAGAAAGGAGAATACGGTACGTTAAACACACGGCATGACCTCTTAACCTTTTCAACCTTGATTTCTGCAGAGAATAAGTGAGTACTCACAAACTCATGGGCTGACAAGCAAGAGAAAAACTTCTGGCAAGAGTTGCGCTTTAGCCCTTTTAAACGTTTGACAAGAAAACAAAATTCGAAAACGAAAATTCAAAGTAATTTTATTTCTGGTGGCTTTGTTTGTTTTCTAATGGGGAATAAAAGTTACATGAAATTAAAAAAATCTACAACGTTAATTCTCGAGGAGAAGCGTTATATATTTAAGGAATCAGTATAAAATGCTCGCGCATGTTTCTCAGAGCTGTAGGGAATGAGTGAAGCAAGCTTAGGAATACGAGGCGTAGTCAAGTGTTTTTCTTGCTTCTCCAGTGCTCTACATTTCCAGAATGTTTATATCACAGTACAGAGATAAAATCACCCGTTTTATATTGCTTTTGTAAAATATTTTTGAATGCTTTGGCGAGAGCGTGTCTCTGTCAACTAAAATAAACACGATAGCCAACCATTGAGCGCGCCCGTTGTATCTCAAATATTTAATAATTTTTATCACTATTACTTTTTGTTTTTAGGAGTTGCATCGTACGAATGGACGATTTTTAAATACTCTGTACGTCACCCTGGACTCACAAAGTCAGAAGTCATCTCTGATGCTCCTTTTGACCCCTCGAAAGTGAAAGAAACTCCATGTACTGCAGTTAATACGAACAAAGGCAATACAATACTGCCGTATCCGTATTTTATCCTCTTTATTGCAGTACTTGTTATGCAAAACTGAATGTTGTTGAATTTTTATCTTGTTTTGTACTTATTTTGATTTTTTGTTTTGTCTTTATTAATAAATGCTCATTGTACTTATGAAAAAAAGCTACATTTACATTTACCAAATTACAAGCACGCCCTCTTAGCTTCGAGCAGTGACTAATTCAGCGGGTAGATTGTTACTAACCTAATAAGTCATTTTCCCATTTTATACCAGTGTCAATGTTCATTCCCTCGAGTTATATTTGTTATTTTCCTATACCAGTAATGAGAAAATCATTTAATCTGAAGGATGAAAAACAAATAATTTTATTATCAATGGAATGACACGTGGCCTGAAATGGGAAAGCATTACTTCCACTTGAATTGAGTTTATTTGATCAAGGTATCATTGCTTGAAGGTGAGTAAAGGGCTCTCAAGAGATCACCCAATATTTCCTCTTCTTTCTGTCGTTTTTACTTTTTTACAACATGAAAATATGTATCGTTAACTTGAAATCTAAAATTATCTTTTCATAAAATGTTCTAGATTCTCCTTATCAGGGCTCAGACTTAACCTTTTTGTCCACTAGCAAATAGCCTGCATAGGGGCGCGCACTTTGGGGAGGGAGGAGATGAGGAGGAAAGGAAGTCAAGTCAGAGCAGTTACTATCACCCTTGCTTCCATTCTCGTTTCCCTTCAATGAAGGTACCTTGTCATCCTCCCCTTGGAGATGTATGACAGATGAAACCCAAGAGAGAGCAGAAAATGACCTGGGCTTGCAGTTTGCTGTCCTCTTTGCTACCCAGACATGTTTGAATCTGCAACTCATAAATTTACAAATTAAAGCCTTTCAGCTTTCAGTTATATACCTTGCATTGTTTTACAGTTAACCATCAATGCCTTGGCACTTTAAAAATAGTAGTGTTGTGCATTATAATGAATGGCTTGTTTTCAAAGAGGTTTCACAGGGACAACTGTCACTTTACCACCAAGTTTAGGACTAACAACAGAGTATTTGAAGAAAGTCCAGCCATGAGCAGCACCTCCTGAAACAATACCAACATCAAAGTGAAATCATTAAATTTCGTCAATTTTGTTGTTTTCTCATGGGAATAAAAAGAAATGTTGAAGGGGTTATTGATTTTTGTTGGTTTCTGATTGGCTTCACTACCCAAAGTTGGAATGCATTGTTTTCCTTCTACATATTAATTGATCTACACTGTCTAAAAATGGTCCTAGTTTTATTAGTCTCACAGTAACAGCTTTTTTATGCAATGAAAAAATCGTATGATAGATTCTTGAATGAAGCAAAACATCATTTGACAGACTGGACCTTAGTTCTTACCATATTCACCAGCCTTATTAACAGCCACAAGTCCACCATTGAACTTAGGATAATACTTGGCTATTCTAGACATAGCTAATTCTGCTGCTTGAGTGGGAGATTTGCCTTGTCTCATGTATTCTACTGCCACTAAACTATGTGCAATAAACAATAATGAAACATATATTAATACTATTAAGTAAAATATTGACATAAAGTAAATGGAAGAAATAAGGTATACATCCAAATGTCAAATAAAAGTGCTACAGTAGCTCCATTTCAAAAATCTAGTTTGCCACTTTGCTTTTTTGAAGTGTCAAAAACATTTTATGCTAGGCAATTTGAGTGGTAGTAGATGATTTCTCATATGTGCGAGTGCTTTTATAAATATCACAGGCCCAAACGTGAAAGCAAGGCATTTTCAGGCAGCAGTTTCCATTTAAGAAACCTATGGAAACCATAACCTAATAGGCGATTTCTAAAAGCCTTAAAAAAAGTTTTGCCTGAAGTGGGCTATAGTTTTTTCAAAGAGCTATAATCCTGCTCCAGAACTAAAAGAAACTTAGATATATTCTTGTATTAACATGATTTCAAATTTTTGTATGTTTTTTTTCATAAGTGTAAAATCTTGCCCAAAAATGCCTTTCAGTTTTGAATCTGAGCATGCAATAACTGTTGAAAGCAGTTGTGCGATTATCCTGGAAATGGTCTATTAATAATTGTCACTAAAACAAACCTGCTGCGATATTGCTGCAAATTAATTCTGATGTACAAAAACTAAGAATTCATTTTCCAGAGGGATACCTTGGCAGGAATCTCATCATGATATCACCATCTCCAGTAGCAGCAGCACCTCCTACATCATTATCTACATATGCCCCAGCACCAGGGATGGGTGAATCTCCAACACGACTACAAGCAAAGAATACTTTCACATGATAATCATTGGTGAAGCAAAGGACAAAAGTAGGGAGAGGAATAGAAGGAAGAATGGGATTAGGTGGGAAGGATGAGTGAATAACTGGATGGATTGAGTAGAAGGATAGTGAGAATGAGAGGGGCAAAGCAAGCAGGGTTGGGTAACAAGGATGGATGAATGGATAGATGGATGGATGGATGGAGGGAAAGAGGGAGGGAAGGAGGGAGGGAGGGAAAGAGGAAGGGAGGAAGGGAGGGGGGAGGAAGGGAGGGAGGAAGGGAGGGAGGAAAGGAGGGAGGGAGGACTGATGGATGTTATTAAATGGATGGTAGAGAGGAAAGAAAGGAAATGAGAATAATATATCAAGGGCCTACCCAGGTACTTTGTGGCTAGCTCCATTAGTAGACGTTCCACCTGCCATATTTCCATCTGCATCAATTACAACCATTCCTACAAATTGTTAATCACATAATATATTCTAATACATAATTTTTTTCAATCGCACTATAAAATATCCCAGCCTAGATCTCATCAAAATGTCCGTCCATAATGAGGGCTTTAATTCTAATAGCAGAAATTTGTGAAATTAATAATAAAAATACATTTAAACTATACCTATTGTGTCATGATTATTCTCATCAATATCATGGTTAGTTTTGTCCAAGTTTTGTACCCTGAAGAAAGAATTACACTGAGTTAATATAATATTATTATAAGCTAGATATAATAATTGGCAGGAGTGTAATTTTTTTAAATACGTACCTCTTCTCTTTAACTGGCTTGTATGGTCCACATGATTTAATGGGATCTGGGACAACATTCTGTTACACAAAGCATAGTAGTGTATCTATAATTATAAAGTTTGCTATATGATGATTTAATAAGACTTTATAAATTTGAGTTACGGATTAAATATCTGACATGTGTAAACTTACTTGTCTAAAGTTTGGTTGACAGTTTTTCTTTTTCCAGCTTTTCCAAAGGTCTCTAAATAAAATAGGACATTAGTATTATAGTGTCATTCAATACAAATACAAGAATCCCTTGCACACTTCCTTTTAATTGTTAAGTTAAATAGCACCAAATGCAGCAAATGCCAAAAAGCAAGAAAAATAATCTGCCATGACTCTTGTTCCTAAGCTTGCTCTATAGCTCACAGTACAGAGACATGTGCATATTGCATTTTATATTCCTTAAATGAAAATAATTTATTAACACCTTGCTGATCATGATGAAATGCTTGAACTTAATCTTATAGACTAATGGTCATTTGTTTGTTTGTACATTGCAGTGCTATTTTCAAATATTTATTTATATATATATTTTTTGATGATTGGGCTACCTATAGATTTTAGACTTACATTGAGTTATTGGTGCTCAGGCTCTCCTCTTTAAACCCCATATCTTTGGCAAACTTGGTTGCTGTAATGAAACACAATCAGTGCTTGAATTAATTCATATACATGATGTATGAAAAAACCTTTAATTCTCTGATTCTGAATTTGTCTTTAAAGTGCTACTATGACGAAAATCGCTCAAACTTGGATTCAG